ATGTATTTTTTTTCTGTTAAATTATGTACTTTTTCATAAACTAAAATTTTATATATGCGAACCTTATCGGTAAAATGAAAATTGTTGAATGCCACATTTGAAATTTTCTATTTGAATGTATTTTTTAATTAGTATTTTACATCGGTAAAAGAATATTTTAATTGCAAAATTTCTATCCAATTTTAGGCATGAACAGTTTTTCAGCTTTGTTAAACCGCAGAATAGGCACTGTTTCAATATGAAAATCTACATATTTTATTGATATTTCTAAGTAAAAGTAAACGTGGATGGTTTCAAAAACTAAGCTGAAAGTTTAAATTAATTATTTATTTAAGAAAATATAAGAAATCTAATAGAAAAAATGAGAATTCTGATGCTATTTTAAAGAATACAATCATTTTCTATAATTTAAAAAAAAAAAAATACAATATAAAAGAAAAGTTGAGCAAGAATGGTGAATCTAGACAATGAATTAAGTTGGAAAATGAAAAAGTAATTTACATAATATTTGCAATTTCGAATGGTATAGATAAAATATTTTGTTTAAATATAGAAATAATTTAATTACAAATTGTTTTTAGTGGCAATTCCAACATTCTTTCGGCGTTTCGATAAGTAAATTTGTTATATGCATATTTTAAATTTTGAATTTAAATAAAAAATTTATTGCACTAATTAAATACATATAAAAAATGTGTTTATATATATAACGACAATAAATCGTTTTACATAATAATAATGTACACAATAATATTATAACATACTTAAGCAGGTAGATAATTATATAATATCATAGCTTTAACTAGAAATTGTAAATAAATTTTTCATATTCATGTAATTTAATTTTGAATATCAGTTTGTAACTTTGTTTTATTTTCTTCACTTTTTCGTTTCTTATATTTTTAATTAAATATTTGAAATCGATTATAATTTTGAAAATTACCTCGAATTTTTTTAACAATTAAAATTAATTCTTTTTTAAATGCTTATAATTTATAGCTATAAATATTAAAGTTGAGTTTATTTTACATATACATACAAAATTTACATAACAAATGTAAATTTTTACAAAAAATTCAACAACGAGTATTAACGTATTGCAATCAAAATAAAGTATAAAACGATACACTCAGCATTACCGTGATAGAGGTTGGTCCTGAATTTTTTCAAGAGGAGTTCGGTTTGTATAGTACATGTACCATTTAAAATTCTAGATTTACATTATTTAAAACAAGTGTTTTAAAGTATATGTGTTGGATATCATGAACTCAGCTGAAAATATTTGTCACATATACCGAAAATCTTAATACCGAAATTTAAGTTTATATTTTTCAAAATTCACTTGATAAAAGAGAGTTCAATTTTTCTTTATTATTTCGGAGCTTAATAATTTTTTTATGTCTTATTAATTTTCTGAGTAGGCATATATTAATAAATACAAACCTACCTACTTTTACATACTGTTAATATAAGAACATTATTTTTATATAGGAAAAAAGGAAAATTATTATTTGTACATATGTATGTATATATGAATATAAAGATGTAATCGATAATGTAAAATGCGAGTTGAATTCTTTTGCATCTTAATGTAACTTTTGCAATTAATATTGTAACTTTTAATATTGTCAGCACAATATTTCCATAATTGTAGAGCAGCCTGTCAATGTGAAAAAAAAATGTCACGTTATTAATAATGTCAAGAACCTGTCATATTAGTAAAATATTTTTTGGCATTTTTGTAATGCAAAAACTTTACCTGCTGATTTTGTTCAAAAATAATTTATTGTTAGCAGTTTGTATATGAAAGTTATGCGAAAATAGTGACCGTCAGATAAAATTGTTGTCGAATGTCATTTTTTCATTATCGATTACAACTTAAATCGAACATAAAAAAATTACTATTTGATATACATAAGTAAAATTGCATGTATATATATGTATATGTATAACAGTATAACTTAAGTGAGAAAACTCTGTATGTAAAACATAAATTTATATAACATACTTATATAAATGCAATAAATATGTAGTATGTGGATTTTTCATTTCAAATTCGCCATTTTTTATCTAATATTCGCCTTTTCTTTCAGTTCAAATTCATTTATATTTCGTCAAAAATTGCATTATTCCAATTAAAATTAAGAGTTTTAATATCAAGAAATAAATATTATTGTTTTGTAGTCCCACGTGTGTCACAGGTGTGTAATATTTAAATTTAATAAAGTTGGGTCAAACCAATGGTTTGTATTGTAGCACTTTTCCCTTCAACAAGTGAAAATTCTACTTTTAAATACAGTCTATGTGTACCTATCACACTATTAAAATTATTTTCATTCATATACAAAAACTATTTTTTGGATTGCATATATTTAGGATGATGCATATATGCAGTCTTTGAAATAAAGCAAAAATTAATATAAAGAGGGGTTAACATAATGCGCGATTTTAAGGGTTAATTGTGTGAATTAAGAAAAATAATTATATTTTTTAATTTAATGGAATTTACCGTTAGCTTATGGTTATTAGAAAAGCTTGCGGTTTCGGAAATATAAGGTGTCAAAAATTCAAATTTTACGAATTTCAAGAGGCGATAACTTGAGAGGGGTGGAGATGGAAAAAAATTTTCTTCTAAGGAAATGAAGTATTTGTTCTACAGTATGGGATCTAAAAGAAAAACGAAATCAAAAATTTGGAAAAAAGGACTTTAGATAACGGTAAATTTGAACGGCTATTTTGTTTTTCTAAAGTTTAACTTTAGTATACCGCGCAAGGGGAAGCAAGACACTGCCCCTCTGCGTCTGCAAAATTTCAAAAATGCTTATGGTTTCATTGCAACAATTATTTAAAAAAGGCCATTTTTAGGGTTTTGGTGGGGAATAACTTCTAGAGGGGGGGGAGATAGGTAAAAATTTTGTTCTACGGAAATAAGTTTCTAGTAGAGAAGTTTTTTAAACAAAAAAAGTGTCCACGGACGGACGTCCACGGACGTACGGAGTGAAACTAATAAGCACTTTTTTCAAAATTTTTTTTGGAAAAGCGCTAAAAAAACAACAGAATTGAAAAGACCAGAATAATTCGAGATTTTATTCTCGTTTGACGGAATTTTATCAATGACGGAAAAATTATGAAAATTAAATTGGTGCTTTAAAAACCTTCACCGATAATATATGTGACTTAACATGTTAATACATAATGAATGGGACCTTTTCGCTTTTGAAATATGGATAACGGAAACATTCATGAAAATTGAACAAATTAAGACAAATTAAAAAATTTCTGCAGATGATATAGAAAAAAAATTATGTATTTCAAATTAAAAAGTCAACTTAAGTACATTAATGGAGTGATGAAAAACGAATATAAATTGAAGGGCGAATTTAAAGTTTAAAACCAATTAAAATATACACATATATTTATATAGTACTCGTATAATGGATATATAGGAAAATAAATTTAAGTTTCCATAATAATCCGGATAGGATTATAAATATTATTTTCATAGCATTCAAATTTCAACATTTTATTTTGCTAATTAATTTATATTTTAATTTATAACTTAATTGTATAACGTCTTAATAATTAAAATTTTTTAAATATTTTTCTACTAAGGATCTTTTTTTTTTTAATTATTTTTACAAATTACTCTAAATTTTTAAGCAAAAATTAAAATAGAGAAAATTTATATTAAATTTCAAAAATAAAAAAACAGAAAAATGTACACATATAGGTATAAATATTTTTTATTTTGTAAATATGTAATGTTTATTACGTATGTGTGTATATAATGTACATATATATATATATATATATTTAATAATATTAATTAGATTTTCAGTATTTTTGTATTCAATATCAGTGGTTCTTTTCTGTTCTTTATAATTGTTCTGAACTTAATCAATTTAATATGATTATAAAATTTGAAAATTGGAATTCCAAATAATTTCACGAAGAAGTCCGTTTAGCATTGTGTTTTCATGGGTACTATAAAGTTCAAAGTTGATTAATGTATTTAAGATAAATTTTTCCTGCTTCGTCATTAATTTCTTTTAGAAGAGATTTATGCTGTTTAACGTGAAATATTTTGAATTAGAAAATTTTTTTCATATGTATGAAATTTTAATTGAAATTGAATAGATTTTTGAAATATAAAATTTACGAGAATTTTTGTACGATATTAATTTTCATGTTACAAATAGAATGAAGTAGAGTAACAGATATTTATTAAAAAGATATTCCGTAAATAAAGCTATCAGCAAAAGAGCTATAATTAGAATTTTATATCATGACATACTCGTAATTTAAATGACTTTCTACCATAATATCTTTTTTAATGACAAATTATTTCTTTTCAAATAATGACAATCGCTTGTGGCGTTAAAATAACGAAATTTTGATAAACAGTTAGGCAATTACAATCGCTAAGAAGCATTTTGTTTTTGCGATTGTTTCTCTGAGATCGCATGTCAATTGATTACGTATAGCGATTATGATTCAGATTACCAAAATAATTCACAGTCGATGTATCTATAGCGTTATTAGCAACAATCGTCGTCAATAATCTTGCTAACTAGCCCCTATGCATTATAATGGCCACTTATTATAATCGAAAATTGAAAAAATGTTTCACATAATTATGTTTTTATTTTTTTTCTGTTTCGATTAATTTATGTATAAAGATAATAAAGTAAGACCATTACGAGCAAAAAATTGACAACTTTTCTCTCTACAAACATTTAACAGGAATAAAGAATTGTAAATTCTAATATATTGAAATTTTAATTTGGAAAATAATAATATTTTTAGTTTAAAGCTTTTTTCAATTTCCAAATTTTATAATTTTTGTTTTCCTTATTACGTCTATTTTATATTATGTAAGTATGGTTAATGTATATAATATGTATGTAAATATTTTGTTGTAATTTTATGATTTTTTACTACTTTTGTAAATTTCATAAATATATTATAGATTTGATTAAACGGGTAGTATTGTTGTAGTTATTATTATTATTATTTTTATATGTACTTATACAGAAAATTTAATATCATATGTAATATAGTAATTTGAAAGAATTATTTTAGAATACTTTACATGTACATTTACACTATTTATAAAATCTTTACTCTTATACATAATTGATTTTAGCAGGTTAAAATAATTTGAAAGAAATAAATGGGCTAGGTTTAAAATAGTTATAGAGACTTGAATAGTTTAACAAGTTAAGATAGTTGAATCAATTGCGCTAATCCTATTCAATAAAAATATTTCATGACAAATCATTTTTCTTAATTTGAAATTAGTGTAATTCCGAATTGAAAATCACTTTTCTTAAATCAGATGGTAATTTTATTGAAATGAAAATTCCAAATGTAAAAAGGATTCGTAGCAAAAATTGTGCATTTTTTTTTTTTTTTGTTTTTCTTAAATGTGCAAATTTTGAGTTATGTCAATGTTGCAGCAAACAAGCGATATAGTGGATCAGCTGCTTATTAAAATTTTTCCAATCATATGCTAAGAGCCACATCTAAAATCGAAATTGATATATGGATGATTTATCCAAGCAAATGGAGAACGAAGTTTTTTATTAAAATTGATTTTGATAGACAAAAAAATGTTATCCCTTTTGAAATATTTTTGAATTACTTACCCCGTTTATGTGGCAGCTTCATGTTAATATGAAATAGAAATATAATAGCCAAACTTCATTTTAGGACTTTCAATTTGACATAGTAAAAACCAAGTTTGAGTTTCGAAATGATTTGAAGTCAAGTACTCAAGCTGTCATGTAAACGAGGTAACTGTCATATGAGATATCTTAGACTGACTAAGAACTGTCAAATAAGTTCATAAGTTTTGATTATAATTAAACGTATTTCTTGTTTTGAATTATAAAATATTCTAGAAATTTTCTTTCAAATTTTTTCAAATTTATTATATTTCTCTTATTTTCGTCCTATTTTTTTGTGTTTATTATTTAAATTTTTTAAATTTGTTTTGTTTTTGTGAATTAATTTCAATTTAAATTATCCTACTATATTTAATAATAAATATTATACATACATAGTTGACATTTTTCTGCAGTTTTAATAATATCATAATTATTTGGTTTTAATTTGATTTTTTTTTGTTTTTTTTTTTTTTTTAATTTTTTTGTAAAAAAAGCATAAATACATTACCAATTTTTTAATTTTTTTTAGTCATTATAGTAATCAGTTTTTTTTTTTATATTAAATATATTACTACATATATATATATATATAATAAATATAATTTATAATTTATATAATAAGAATAATTAAGACTGTTGAATAGAACTCAAAAATGCTGGATCGACAGAAGCAACTTTAGCTGTCAAAAATGCATGCATACAAAATAGCAAACTTTGCAGCACTTGACATTCTAGTTCCTGCAATGGTACAAAAGAAACGAAGAAAAAAATAATCTATATATAGTTAAGAATAAAAAATAAATTAATAAAAAAAAATTAAAAATTCAATTTTTTTTTACAGATTATATACGTTGCGTTGTAACAAATACCTACTCGTATAGATATTTGCAATTTGGTTTACTCCAATACATTAAAAAGTTTAAAAATTAAATTATAAAAAATTATTAAATAACTTGTAATTTTAATAAAATATCTGATATTCTTTTAAAAATAATAATTTTTGTAAAACTCGTATGTAAGCTGAATGTGATCAATAATTAATATAGTTAAGGCCAAAGAGATACTTGTGACAATTACATTTTGTGCATTTATAGAAGGTCGATGAGCGCATAAGGGATTGAAAATTGACAATTTTTTATACTTTGAGAAATAATGGAAAAGAAAGGAATTGCAAAGAAAATTTTTCCTAACAAAATAAAATGTTGATTTGAAACTAATCCAACTTGTCAGACACAGGAGAAAACTAATCTTAAAAATTACAGAAAACCTGGTTTGAAAAATTAATTCGATAACTAGATGTTTGCGTGTAGTTCCATTATGATAGAAGACTTCCATTATAGTAAAAGAAATTGACGGTTTTCTGTGTTTATATGTTACTTTACAACTTAGTTTTGGTTTAGACAAAATAGTTTGTCGAAAATTTAAACAACACATTTTTCATTTTAATTTTTTTTTGTATATTGGGCACATTTCGAAAAAAATCCGTTTTTACAAAACTTCATAACATCAGCCATCACTACAAATTGTAGGTGTTTAAGCTCATGAAAATGTATGTTTTTGATAGCCTACTACTGTGTACAAACCAAAAAGAGATTGTAAATTCTGTAAATCTGGCAGAATCAAGAGTATAACTTTTTCTATCATAAAAGAGTATAAACAGTTAATGTAAGATGATCGAATTGAGCCTCCAAAACAGTCATTACTTTTAGTTTTTTATGAATGTAGAACTCACCTTATACACAAAAATTCATCTTCAGCATCAAAACATTATAAAATTCATTTTTGTACATATTTTGCACAACATGTTATTCATTAACAATTCATTATTTAAGTTCATATACGTTAGTTGCAGAAATTTTAATTCAAAACTACTTTACCAAATTCAATTCAAAGTCAAAAAAAAATCATAAAATGTATTTTTAAAAATAACTCTTAAATATCAGATATTTTATATACTATAAGCAGAATTGATATCGTTATAATTCTATAAAATTTTATAGATACAAAAATAAAAATTAAATGAAAATAGTCATTAAGATTTAACGTACTGCGATCTACGTAAAGAAAAATTAATTAAGTTTATTAACATTTCACTACTGGAGTTTACCCTACATTTATTTAAAATTAATAATTATAAAGTGAACAAATTGAAAGTAAGCAATTACAAGAAAATAATTTATTTACAATAAATTCAAAAGTTATTTATCATTATTAAATTACAAAAATAAGTAGGAAAATTTAAACTTAAAAAATAAACGAAAATTAGTAGAAGGAAAAGAAAAGAAAAACAAACGGCGATGACAATGAAAAATTGAATTTTTTAATTTTATTTTTAGGTGTAACAAAAACCACCTTAAAAAAACAATTTTGAAAAATAGAAAAATTAATCACCTTTGTTTCTATAGCTCGGGTTTCGTGATCCTGAAAATGTAATTTTAATTTAGATTTTCCATCATCACTGGAACCTCGTAATTGTGAAAATTTATATTGCCATGCTATACTGGCATCAGCACCTTCTGCTAATGAAAAACCTGATTGCCAATCCAATGTAAGACCACCACTTTTACCATGATGCGATACAGCAAATGTTTTTCGCTAAAAATTTCAAAAATAATTTTTAAAGCAATATTTATTTTCTTTCCATAATCTTCATTAAATATTTTTTAATAATACATATAACAGTTTTAGGTATTTTAAGTATAACTTGGAAGAGACAAAATAAAATATAAGATACTTACACCAAGTTTTATCACACTAGTTACAATTGCAGCATTCCAACTATTTTCAATTCTTAATAATTCTTGCCTGGTTTCAACGCTCAAGTAACGTGGTTCATGTCCAGAACTTTGCAATAAAAAACAGTGTTGTCTTGAATCAACTGTTTCAGATTCCTTAACAACACGGAACATTGTTTGATAAACTTTATATGTTACTAACGCCTTCGATAAACCAGCTACATTTAACTGAAATGAAAATTTGAAATTATAAATTGAAATTTTTACAAAATAAGCATTTAAATCTATGTTCATGGGAAACTGACAATTTATTCACTTAAGATATTCGAAGCTGTTTTATATAACAGAAAATAGTTTTCGAAAATTCAGTTTCAACTTATAAATCTAAATATAAAATACGTTCGGTAAATCAAACCTAAAAAATCTTTACTAAAAACGACACACGTTCGAAAATATTAGAATATTGAAAATATTTTTTAAAAGACGCAAAATAATATTTTTAAAATTTTAGTGAAAACTTTAAGTGCATACCTGAATTATCGAAAATCCCCGAATTTTACATACTCATACCTATGTATATTGTGCCACACACATGGGTATGAGTATGTAGTTTAATTTACGAAAATAATTATTATAGTACCCACCGGTGGTGATTCAAAGAGCATTACTTCAGTTCCTTTAAGAATTAAAAACCTAGGTTTATAGCTTTGCCATGATATGTTGTTGTTAATTACACCTTCGTTTACCCAACCCATGTATTCGATACGTTCACCCACTGCGAAATTTCTATTGTATAATTTCATCTGCAAAAAAAAAAATAGGAAGAACAATGAGCTTCAATTATATTATTTGAAAATTTATAAAACAAAACTGTATGGAATGATTTCAAATGGTTGTTTGTTCATCTTTTTCGTGATCAACCTACAACCGACTGTGATAAATATTTTCACCATTATATTTTCAAATCCCGGAATTCTATTTTTATAAGCCACAGCGAATAACTTAAATAATGTACATGTTGTATAAATGGATGAAGGTCTTATACTTCTTTTTGGAATTTAACAAAGTTTTAGTAATACGTTATAATATGGTTATAATATGGTTATAACTGTAAAATCCGTTCTTTATTTTTAATATAATAAATTTACTTGTAATGTTTACCAATTAGTTGTGTTTAAAAGTAAAACTAGGTTTTTCAATATAGGTACATAAAATGCTAAGCCAGTTATTAGTGAAAAGTACCTACAAAATATATAATTTTTCCTCACTTGGTCTAGTATGAGGATATTTAAAAATATTGCTAGTTTTACTTTTGTAATATAGTTTAATTTAATAATTCACAATTAAGCTAGGAATTTGGTAGCACGCTTCCTGTCCACAAGTCATTTTATAACGCACTGAGAAAATTATTTCGTCAGAGTAAGAGTTTCAACAACTTCTCCCATTAACATTTATTTTTAGTTTTTCAGAGTTCTAAAATTCCATTAAACATACGGACAATATTTTTAAGATGCGAACACAAAAATACAGCGTTGCCTTTTTTTACTAGCAAAAAGCGTGTTGAACTTTCTTTTGAAATTTTTTCCATCATCATTATTTATTTTCATCATTATCATTTCATTATTTTCCCAAATTAAAAACAGTTTATTGTATATCAATGATATTTCCTGCCAATCTGAAATTATTGAATCTCAAAATTATTAAATTTCCAATTTTATTAACATTTTTCTCTAATAGATTTTATCTTGTTTTATACAATAGTCAAAAAGTAAAAGTAGCAGCAAATATCTTCAAAAATTTTATATTCTCCTTTAACAATTTCAGTCTAGAAATTTTATGTATGCTAATAATTTCCAAAAAAATTAGATAAAACGTATCTACCAATGTAAAGTCTAAGTTATATCGGTAATTAATTTAGTTAAGGCATAAGTTATCGTATATTTTTGGGAAGAAAGACGGTTACTGCTACATTAATGCTTTCACAGAATTTAAATAGAATTTATAGCGTTCAAAAAATAATGCCCAATTTCTATAGTCAAATAAAAACAGAACGAAATTAATTGAATCACTCAAAACTTGCAATGATCCGCTAAAAACTTCAAAAATATAATATATGGAAATACTAATTAGTTTTTTAAAGGTCTGATGTCATGTGCAATGTTTCTCGAAAATTGGGACAAAAATTTAATAGTATTTTTTTATAAAATAAGTTAAATCAAAAAATCGAAATTGATTTTTTTAAGAAATTCTACTCAAAAAGTTAATACAAAAGGCGACTTACTTGTAAATGTGTTAATCCAACTACATTATCTGTTATTAATTTGAGCCATTGACTTAATATTGCTAAATCATCACAATGTATAATGCCCGTTGATACACCATTTAAACCACGAACTTCAAATGCATTTGGTCTAAGCTTATCCGTACCATATATGTATCGTGTTACATAGGCCATCATTAGTGGTACTAAAATAGTAATATAATATGAATAAAAATAATAAAATTATTGACAAATGAAATACAACATGATGTACATACATACATTATGTAATATTCTTATTTACAATGATCAAAATGAAAATTTTTAGAATATGCCGAAGTATTAATGAACCACTTATGTTAAATATTGAAACACATTTGTCCCCCATACATTACTGTTCGGTTAAATTTTGTTAAAAAACAAAACTTAAAGTTTTAATTTTGGGATACTTTCAAAGTGTTATTTTAAATAATAGCGAGTTTGGACAAAAATTATAAACTTTAACGAATTCATTGTTTCTGTGTCCTCGTGACTCTTCAATATTTTGCTTAAGAATCATTAATAGACTAGTGCAGGAAAAATTCATAGAAATTTTAATATAGGTTTAAAAATTTATCTACATCAATTAACCTGATATTTGATATTTTGGTGAGTTTTTGGGGGACCAAGACATTTATTTGAATATTATTTCTTACCTGATTTAATATCCACCCATTTCTTTTCACCTTCAGAACAAATGGAGATGGGACGACTGCCACTACCACTGGTTCCGTTATTGACTGAAGATTTAAAACCTTCGTCAGCTTTTAATTCAGCACAAGTTGCATCATTATCTGAATCTGGGGTTTCTTTTGATACTATCAAAATATTGTAAAATATTAAAAGTTATTAAATATAGTTTTTAGATTTAAATATTTGCGTAAATTAACAAAATTAAATAATATTTATTTCTAATTTTAAATTTATTAATAGTTATCTTACATTGTTTTTGTAAAAATGGAGTAGCAGCTCTATAATGTTTAACGGTAAGAACGACAATATCACCAGCATTGCGTAATATATTAACAGCATCATCATGGGGACATGCAGTTATGTATTCACCATTAACTTTAATAATTGCATCACCAACGAATAATTGGCCAGTTACATCGGCAGCTTGATCTTTATATATTCTTGAAATTAATATTGGCAGCTTATGTTCGGCACCACCCTTTATACTTAAACCTAATCCACCAACTTTCTGTCGAGTAATTTGCACCATCCGTTCCTAATATAATTTTTTTTGTTTAAGTTTTGTAAATACTTGAGTAAAGCACATACAAATACATATAAATAATTTTTATTATAACTGAATTGAAATTTTGAATAAACTAAGAAAAAACTAAAGATTTTAGGCCGAAAAAATTGTAATGCTTTTTAAATTTCACCATGATATTAGAGTCATTTGAAGCCAAAAGTTTTGGGATTTTGTAATGCGAAAGGATTTTTTTTTATTTTTACTGTATAGATTATAAGCCAGATTGCTTAAAAATCAGCTCAAAAAACGACTAGATTATTGGTTCCAATTAAACAACTTAGTAAACTTAATTAAAAAAATATCTTTAAGCAAAAATGCACGGTTCTTCGCTTTAGTTTTTGGTTTGTTCGACAACACATTCGAAATTGTTCACATTTTTATTCTTTATATAGAACCAACCAAATTTAGAGCATCTTCAAAAACTTAGTTTAAAATAAATGAATGTCATCATTTATAAAGGCTTATAAATTTTTATATTTCTGTAATTTTTTATATGTATTTCTAAAGACATACATACATACGTATAGGTTTTTGAAATTCTCATTAAATTACAAATTACCTTTGATTCTGTTGGCGGTCCAGTTGACGTACTAGTTGGTGTAACGATTTCTAATTTTTGTAAAACTAGTAGCTCCATTGTTAGATGTAAGCGTACCGGCTCCGGTTTACTTTTACCATCACTGACCGTTACCATTCCGGTTCGCACCTATAATTAAAAATCGAAATTAAATTCATTGGCATATTGTAATTTGCATGTAATTTAATTTAAAAGTTTTAATGAAGTAAGTTTTTCTACGTATTTAAGTGGTCTCAATTACAAGATATGACCCCAAATTATAATTTGCAATAAATATGATTAGTATTAACAGCACAATGAACTAAAATTTAGAAAGATGTTTTATTTTGTTGTTATTCAGGTGATAAAACCACCTTAAAATTGTTACAATTTATTTTTTCTAACATGTAATTTAATCCCATTGCAAGTATCAAAAATCGTAATGGCATTATGGTGAATTCGTCACTTTTAGATTTTATGAATAAAAAAATAGAAGTACCAAAATACCTAATTGTTGCCAGTAAAGGCCCATTTGATAATCAAAATGATTGAGGTTTTAATTTTTTAATTTTTTATTTGCTTTTAAACCCCAAATACTTTATATTAATTTAATATTGCTAAGGTGAGGTTCTACATAGCAAAATTAAAAATTTTAAGTGGCGAATCAAGTAACCATTCTCCCAAAATACTCACAGTGTTATAGTTCGGCAAAAATTAAAACAATTGTTGAAAAATTCACTTTTATGCAATGTGTACGCGGTTCGCTTGTGATATTCATGAGTTAGTATATAGTCATTTAACTCTAAAATCATGAATTTTTAATTTGTAATATGAAGGTTTTTCTCAAAAAAAAATTATTACTTGCGTATAATTTTTTTGATTTTAGAATGCTTTTTTTGCATTTTTTGCACTTAAGTAAAAGAAAAAGGTTTCGTATATCAGTGATACCTCGCAGCTTAAGCAAAGAGAATGCAAAAAGACGACATTTTCTTCGCGAACGTTATATTTTGAGTCAATAACATGAGAAGGAGGTTGAAAAGATGATAATATTTCCGTAGTTCTCGTACATAATTTTTATTCGTATGGATTCATTTTAATTTTATCACTGTTACAAGCTGATTCAGAAATAAAATCGATTCTCGAGTGCTGTACAAGTCAACCTAAAGTAAATTCCCGAATACATATTTAATATGTACATGCGAACTGAAAAAACTTAGAGGAAAAATTCAAATAATTTGAAAAGCGATCTTGCAATGCTTAATAAAATATAGCCGCGTAATACCTATAACAAGACCATTTTTAGAACAAAATATTTTATTTAATAAAATGTTACTGCGACAGTAGCATGAAAAGCCTTCATTTTCAAAACAGATAAAAAATCTTTAGTAATGAAAAGTTTTTGTTTTTGATAACATGTTATTTTGCAAATAATGGAGCAGCTATATAGGAATTATGAAATTTTTATAATAAATATTTTATAATAAAAAATTAAATTGATTTTATTGCAGAGTTTGAATAAATAATGATGAACAGTTTAACCATTCTATAAATAATTTAATAAAATTATTATTATAAAAGAAAAATTTTTTTTAAATGAGAAAATATGAAAAAATCAGCCACGTGAAAAATATTTCTCAAATTCCTTTTTATACTTTTATTAAGTAATACTATAGCGTGTTGTATTCTTTCTCAGATATCAACGTTTCCAAAAATAATAAACGATATAAAATTTTGAGCGATTTTGCATACACATTCGTATATACATACATATATATTCCGACAATTCTCGCTGGAGAGAAAACAAAATAACAATACAAAATGTAGGAAAAAAAAAAAATAATATTATTTAGAAATACTTTATGAACCACACCAAAGTAGTAGATACGGAACCACTTTAAAGAAATAGTTGTTTCTTGGATGAGTTATTTTTGAATGATATTAGACCTTATTATAAGTATCAAATCCCTAAGTAATAGTTTTATGAACGGTAAAACTTTCAAAAACAGTACTATCGAATTTTTGGTATGAATTTTTTTGAGTTTATAATGAGAATATACTCTACTATTAGTAAAAATATGGAAGTGGAAATTTCGGTAAAAGTAATTAATACCTGGAAAAAATTAAACAAAAGAAATTCATAGCAAATCAGAGAGATGATTTTTTTGTAAAAAATTCTAACCTATAGTAAACCCATACGTTCAATCCCACAAGTCAAAATATTAAAATACACTCTAATTTTGGAATTATCTTTAGAATAATATTCTAAATAAAAACATGGACAAAAGCGTTAAAATATAAAATTCTCCGCATAAAAATGTTTTCACATTATGAAAATATTTGTATCAAGAAATTTAATTACTCTTTTTTTGGAAAGTTGAACGACAATACCATATTTTCTCTCATTTGAATTAGTGTTAAGTGACCTAACAAAAACAAAAAAAAAAAATACCAAATACATCAAAAGCAAAATTAATGATTGCGTTGTCTCTCACTTTTACTTTCTTCGTTTTCTCTGATTTTTACTATTCGAAAGCAAAATTTTATATTTGATTTCAGTTCAGTATTACTTAAGTCGTTGCTGTCGAAAAAGTTTACAATATAATAGCTTAAATATACATATAAAAGAAAAATAAAGTGAAAACGTCACTCTCGTGTGGAACACATATATTTTTTCGCTTTTTAGCAGATCATTATTTTTTTTTTTTGATTATTGTTTACTCCGAAGCTATTCTCCCATAAAGAGATATTTTGTTTCTAAAAAAAGAAATACATAAGAGAAACGAACACATTTTTAGAATAAAATTTCATAAATTAATAATAAAATATAGGAAAGCAACTTTACAAACACAATAAAACAAGAAAATCAGTTTTAAATTAAGTGAAAGATTGTGCAGATGGTAGACCTAAAGAAATTTAATTGATAAAAATAAGACTATATACATACATATGTAGATGTTGCAATAATCGTTCTTCTTTATTTGGATAATAATTTTTTAATTCATAGGAAAGAAAAAAAAATTCAAGTAAATATTAATTTATAAAAAAAAATAAATAAAGATGACAGAAAATGATAGTGGAAAGTGTGCATTATGTGGCTGTGAAGCAAAAAGTTTTTGCTCTGCGTGTAGAACAACAAAATATTGTTCAGTTGAACATCAAAAGAAACATTGGAAACAGCACAAAATTGATTGTCAACCATATAAGATAGTAGCAACAGAAGACATGGGACGTGTTTTAATTGCAACACGTGATATTTTAGCTAAAAATATTATATTCGTTGAGAGTCCTATATGTGTCGGCCCTAAATGGTTTATAAGCGACCGTGATGAAACAATACCTATATTTCCATGTGTTGGTTGTTATTCGCCTTGCAAGATTGGTATACATTCATGCCCAAGGTAAATGAAATTTCGAAAAAATTTATTTATTTACTTTTAAAATAAACACTACGCAATAACGGATTTCCCGCAAATATATTTAAGAAGGAAGTTGTCAAATTCCGCCACATGATCTCTGACTCCAAGGCTCAGAAAAATATTTAGCAATACAATGTACAAAAATAGAACTATGGTTGAAACTTATTTCTGTGAAAAAAAATTTTTACAACCATCCTTCCAAAGGAATGCTTCCAAGTAAAATTTCAATTTTCGGGCAATTCTTACCCTAAACTGCAAACTTTCCAACTTTTTATCGATGTAAAAAGCTAATGGAAAATATCCTGGTTGCATTTTAACCATATAATTAACGTTTGAATCGTAACCATAAAATTAATGTTTAAATATTCGTCTACTTTTGTTTCATTGCTATGCATTATTTATATTATGAAAAAAATATTGCATACTTTTTGGGAAAGAGAATGTTAAAATTTTAAATTTTTGTTTTTTTTTTCCCCCGAAAGTATGCAGTATACTTTTCATAATATAATTTCATAAAATGTTTTGTTATTTATTTGGTAAAGGAAAAAGTGCTACTCTACAAATTTGCTATTTTACAAATCAATCAAATCAAGTACTACTAAACTTGTTCTATCGATTTGAACATTGTGGTTTAAATAGGTTTGTAAGTATTTTTTTTTAGTAAAATACGGCTGGTGCATGATTAATAAAATAACAAACAATTTCTGAAAGGGTTCGAACAAACTTAATTCAGTCAAAGAAAAATGTACGAAAATCCATTAATAGTAATGATCGATTGTTTTCCACATACATTGTGTTATCTTTAAAAAAAGACAAAATCAAATAAAACTAGTGAACAAAATTAAAAGAAAGAAAGTATGAATAAAATTGAAGAGTAAAAAATTTGCTTTACCAAAAATATTTAATTGTGTTCTCAAAACTTTCTGCTTTTCTTTAAGAACTTAAAATAGGAACGGCACAATTACCTTTAATGTAGACATTAAAAAATTTAATGTGCATATATGTTTTTGCAAATACAGGTGTAAATGGCCGTCGTGTTCACCTATGTGTCCTGGCCTGGACAACCCAAAATTGCATAGTCTAGAGTGTCCTATATTGTCACTTGGTCCAGGACCAACTGATAGTAACAGCTTAAAATCTTTAATGGATTATTATCGGGCAGATTCATTATTTGTTCTAAAATGTTTGCTACTCCAGTGGAAGCAACCAAAAAAATGGGAAGACCTTCTGAATATGCAAAGCCATGAAGATGAACGATTAGGATCTGAATTATATTTGTGAGTATAATTTATAATATTAAATTTTAATATCGCAACCATTCATTCTTTTTAACTTGTTTCATTATATTCAAAACTTTTAATTAGAGATGCTCAAAAACGAATTGTCTCGTTTCTGCATGATAATTTTTTATCAAATTTTAAGAAATTGCAGGAACAGTCTCAAACTCAAATATTAAAAAAATATGATGAAAATATTTTACACAAAATATGTGGAATAATTGAAACTAACTACATGTGTATCAATTTATTAAACGGTTTAGAATTATCTGGAATTTTCGCAATTGCTTGTATGATGGAGCACAACTGTCAACCAAATTGTTATTTCCTATTTGATCACCAAAATGGTTTTAAAATATCTGTTATTGCTGGCCGTGATATAAAACAGGGAGAACATTTAAAAATAATGTACTCAAATATGTTGTGGGGTACACATATGAGGCAAGAACATCTACAAATGACGAAACATTTTAATTGTAAATGTGAGCGCTGTTGTGATCCAACTGAATTTGGAACATATTTTAGTGCATTAAAATGTGTTGGAGATGAAAATAAAACATGCGATGGTATAAAATTACCAAAAAATCCACTATCATTAACATCCAATTGGCATTGTAATAAATGTCCCGTTCAAATTGGATATGATGAGGTAAGTGTTGCATAAAAAATTTAAATTTTCATATGGTTTATATCATATTTTCCCATAGAATTTTCATAGTTCTATTTTATCAGTAACTATCTGGCATAAAAAGTAGAATTGTAATAGAAAATTTAAAAATTTAACCAGATGGTAAAAAATAATCTGAATCTATGAATACAAAGATTTATCATAATCAAATATTAGACGAAGTGAAGTTTTAGGTGAAGATTTGTCAACTTAAAGTTGGTTAATTTAAGAACCGGCTTAGTTAAATCTCCCTTATAAACAATTAATAAGGAGAATAAGCGACCTTATAATTATATTCACTCCTTATGACATAATATTCAATTTCTTGACTCCAAGAGAAAAGATTATATGAGACCACAATGAAGGGGAGAAAAATGAAAACACTTAAATAAAAAAAAATTAAGACGTTCTACACGAAATGTATTAATTAAATTGTTATATTTAATACGAATTAATAAAACTTGAAGCTACAGGTGAAGCAACCAAGAGTTTTGTAACTGTATAAGAAAAATCTTCTATAATAATCGTGGTATTTCAACTTCACTTCAGCGTAATGGTATCAAAGTAATTAGAGAGTGAAAAAGGCTTCAAAGAGCTCATTAAAAACATAATTATTTTTTTTAGACATTTTATTTCGCGATAACTGGGGTTTTAAGGTTGCATTGTAATTGCAAAATTAGTTTTTCATAAAACATTCACCATTATAAAAAACTTATTTATTTAAGATTTATTTAACTGTTATTTATCATTGTAGATTAATTATTTAATTTCACAAATGGGTGAAGAAGTGGAAAATTTATTGTCGTCAAAACCAACAATAAAAGAAATCGAAACTTTAATTGACAAGCTGTCAAACTTTTTACATCCAAATCATTATCATTTGTTCAATTTAAAGCATTCATTAATTCAACTATATGGTTCACAAACTGGTTATACACTAGATAAACTTTCGGATGATTTATTGCAGAAAAAAATGTACATTTGTAATGATTTATTAAATATTTGCGATAAACTAGATCCATTTACAATAAGATTATCGATTTATGTTGGTATTATACTTTTTGAAATGCATAACGTTCTAGTAGAATTTACAAAAAGAATGTTGAAGGAGAGATCATTGTCACTATCACCACCATCACCTTTAGAATTGATAGGAAGTACCATAACAGACCAAAATCGAGATGATAGCCCAGGAATTGAAGAAAATAATGAATATAATAAAGACAACGCTGATTTAAAAAATTTAAATGAAATTATGAATAAATTAACGACAACAGCAGTAAATAACGGAAATAATGAAAACGGACAAATAAATAACGGAGAAGAAGCGACTAGTGATGACAGTGGCAAAGTTAAAGAACAGGTTGCTTATAATTTAAAATTAGCTCGAGATTATTTATTAAGAGCAGCTGAAGTCCTTAAAAAAGAATTAGATAATGTTGCTGGATCGAAATTAAGTGATGCGGTTATAAAAGGAATTTCCTCTGTTGATAATTTGTTATCTAATCATTCATAAACATTTGAATGTTGAAGACTAAACGATTGCTCTTCCATTGTATATATATACTTTAGTTATTCTGCGTGTATTTTATTCAGTTCTCAGTTAAAATGTTAGTGTCTCTGTTTTCTGAGTGTTTACTCTAATCTTTTTATACCGTTCAATTTATATATATATTTATAAAATTTTTATTAGAAAGTATTTGTAATGTGACATTTTTATTAACATGCGTTTGTGACACGAATAAAACTATTTTAGAAAATTTAATCATCAATCTGTGAAAAGCATTTTTTTTATTATTCATTGTGCCCGTTAATTTATCTATTCGTTTTCAAATCTTTTAAACGTTCAGCAGAAAAATTATATGAAACGAGATATTAATGAAGAAATTACTTCAGTCGGTAGGACCTCAAGTTTTATAGATGTAATTTTTGAAATTTTACTATGGCGGTTCATTACTTCCGCCAATTACAAAGATAATAATTTTCATTTTAGTTGTTATACAAATATAATCAACAAATAAAGATGCATTACTCGTATGGGAAGAGAAAAATTTGACAAGTTTCTAGCAAAAAAGGATTATACATCTAGATTCTAGACAGTATCAGCAATACATAAAAAAATAAGTTTGAATTTAACACAGCACCAATATGTTAGTTTGTGTACAAAACAAAATACCATTTAATTATTTTTAATTTACCTTCAAATTTTGGTCCACTTTTTCCTCAATCGGAGTAGCCATTTTTGCATTGATCTTCATATTTTCTGTAACAAAAGCAAAAAATATATTTTTAGTATTATTTTAGCTAAAATTTTTACAAATGTTAATGCACAGGAAACACCTTTAATTCATAACAAAATTATAAAAGGTTTCAAAAAAATAGTTACCTACATATTAAGAGCCAAATAACTTATGCGGTTAGCCCAAAATGGTACAAGAAAAGATTTTCGTTATCGTAGAATGCAACGTTAGTTAGAATAAAAGACATTGGATCTATGATGGGGGTCATAAGGGATTGTCTTATTGACGAACACGCCAGAAGACGATGGCCAACCTCCTTTGCTCATGTCCGGCTTTGTCTGGAAGGAGGCGGAGATTCCTTGGGTAATTTTTCTTTTTGCGGACTACGGATCTGACAAATGTAATTTTTCTTTTTGCGGACTACGGATCTGACAAATGTAAATGCTAGGAGCCTTAGCCGGTTTCTGAAAAGCTCGAACTGGTTCTCGTGAGGAAGGGGGATTTTGTGGACCCCGCGGTATCACAACGGGCCTTACTGGCCTATGTGTACCTTGCGGTAGCGGAGTCGACCTAACCTAACTTAACCTAGAATTGATTATCGACTGTCACTAGGTTTTCTATCGAAAAGTATGGATTTTTTTAAAAATTACACTTATGCAAGTAATTTACGTATAATATTTCCAAAAATTATTTAGAGAGCGAGAAGCATATTAAAATATATATCAGATATTAATTTATGTATTTCAAAATTTTATTCCACAATTTTTTCAATATTTAAATGCCTAATCAGAATTTGGTGGAAATAGTAGACTGCCAAATTAAAATTTTACTTTAAAATCAATTGAAAACATTATCAGCGTTGTATATTTCTAGTTTCTTATATACGTTATATGTATGTGAAAAATTATGCCTTTTAATATTCTTTTGACACCAGAACTTGTACATGAAACATATTATTTTCCCTAAAAAATTATCATTTCTACAGATGCACTTGGTAATAAAGAAATATTTCATTTTTTCGACAAATTTCTTATTTTCGTCATTATTCATATTTTATCAAAACAAAAATTTAGAAAAGACAAAACAAAACACTGAGCTAAATATGTATTTGAATGTGGCTCTAAATTAATAATAATGTAAAAATAAGTTCATAAAAGAGACCCCCTTTATGAAATATATTATTTACATGTTAAATAATTGTATATATACAACTGAGGACTGTAAGTATGATAAGTGGCTATAGCGTATGTAGGTCAGTTTTCTTTTATTTTTTCGTATTAACCTAAAATTATTGTACTTATCACTTTATGCAGTGTGTATATAAGTATCAAAAAAGTTTATTAAAAATTTTGTAGAAAAAAAAATGTTTAATTACAGGATGTTTGTGAATATAGATTCTTTGAATTGGTTTTGTAAGTTTTTGTATTAAGTGGAAGTGTTTTCGTTCCTTTTATCTATAGCCCAGACACGTGCTTGTAATTTAAATGGCTAAAATTTTTGTGAAAATTTCAACAGTGTTAAAACACTAAAATATTTTTTTAATAGTTTTTAATTTTGTTTGTAGACTTTTTAGTCTGAATTTGAAGAAGTTTTACTGCATTTGTGTGTATACATTAAAAAAATTTTAAATTAAATATTATTGATGCCAATTTTGCTTATCAAAAGTTTATAAGGTAACAAAGCTGCTTTTGCTTTAATTTCAACTCCGCGAGTACAAGATTTTCGCATGAAGCTGGAAAAAACTCTTGTCCTTTGGACGGGAAATTTCATGATTCGGTTAATTCCATTATTATGCCGAAGAGAATAAAGTTCATGGATAGTTGAACCCATACAATTCTCCCTGGATTCGACACCTATATTAAACCAAACTTTCTCCTAATTAGATATGTCCTACAAAAAGAAAAAGCCACGTGTGAATATAACAAAATATATTTTAACTAACTTTTAAGTATTCTCAAACTGTTTAATCCTTATAACACTGAAATTTATATTGAAAACACCCTGTACAACAGTTGCAGATTCCGAATATATATAAGGGGTATATTATAAGGGTATATAAGAATGTGTATATGTATATGCATAAGTCTAAATAAAAATAAATGCAAAATGGTCTTAATATTATAAAAAGAGATTTTTACATACATACACACATACATATTTAATTTTTATTTATTTAAAATGTACATATATATATATGTATGTACATATATATATTTGTGCATATAGGTGTATATTACAAAATATTTTTATTTCTTGGGTGAAAATTAATATTTTTGTAAACAAAATAAAAAAAAATATTTTAGAATTTAGTCAATGCATTTTTAAAATTTTTTCCTTGTTTTTAATTTTTTCCTATATCTATTTTAAGTACCAGAACGCCTGAATTTTGTACACTTTAGAACTTGATTGTTTTAATTATTCGACGTGTTGTTATAGAAATTGGTAAACCCTTTTTTTATAAACAATGCTTCTATTAAAAAGATCGTGTTGGAATAACGTTTGTTAATCGAACAATAAATAAAGTTTCAAAATTGCCTTGAAAATAATGTTTGTAGCAAATGCTATGAGGGACCTAAAGTTCTCATAAAATAAAACGAAATCTAACTTTTGGAAACCGATAGTTTCGTCTCATTTTTGGAAATAATGCTTAGAGAAGCGGTTCCTGAAATTATTTAGATAAAATTAGATATAAATTTTTTCAAGGACTTTACATTTATTTAATAGTTTTACATTTATGTAATTTGTCATACGTAAATGATTTGACGACTACGTCGTTTCATTTCATATTGTCATATACGTCAAGTTCTTTTCTAAGGCAATGTCCACAAATCGTGCAAAACACGTTGGATTGCATATTGTGTTAAAAGTTATTCGGATTTTAGTCTGGTCAAGTTCAAGTTGAAGTTGCAAACTAAAATAAATCGATTTGACAAAACCCAAACTCCAAGTTGCCATCTACAAAACTAGTTAAAAACTAAAATAGAGTTAAAATTTGGTAATTAGAAAGAACCTTTTTAATGTACGTATTAAATATAAATGTACCGGTTTACTATTTATTTACCTACCATTTTAAGAAACCCATTCAAAAAAAAATTCAAGAAAGAAAGCATAAAAAAGGAACCAAACAATAATGATAAACTTCAATATTCTGTCTCTTTCTATTTTTATTAAAATTCTTGTAGCGGAAACAAGAAAATTATAAGTATTTCATTATATAAATGCATACTTGTTCCTTTTAGGGTCAAGAAATTATGAGTTTTAGTTTTCATTACGAAATGAATACAAAATTTCACTAAAGGATTCTAAAGAGATTAAGTATTAAATTTCTATAAATAGTTCAAATGAAGTTTTTTTAATTCTAGAAAGAGGACAGGACTATATTGTTTTTATTAATATCATTTTTTTTATAATCTTTATCAAAATTTTTTATATAAATATATGTGCGTGTGTATGTATATACTTTAAAAGAAAAAATTTTAGGTCATTCCAAAAGTTTTTTTATTTATAGAGAAAATTACCAAATTTTGTTAAATTAGGATTAATATTTTACAAATTTTTTATATACTATTGAAGGAAATTTTACAGCTACCATGGGTACAATATGGGAACATAAGGTCTACGAAAAACATTATTTATGTGACAAAATAAATAGAAAAGAAAAATAGTCATCATACCCTTCTTTATACAAAATTGCATAGCTAAACATTGTTAAGTAAACAAATAATATAATATGGAAATAATTAATTCTGTGGTCACAAAACAAAACATTTTAAACTGAAATGTTGCAATTTTATAAAAATATTTTGTGTCAAGTTAATATGCTTAATATTAATACGGAAGAAATTAAAGTTGGGGCGAACCAATGATTTGTAAAGCTATTCTTCCCCATAAAAAAATGAAAATACTACTTTTAAAAACAATCTAGTTATGTACTACATTATTGAAATTACTTTAATTTATATACAAAATTTTTTAAATGATTGCATACATTAAGGATGATACAAAAAGATTGAAAAAGACGTTAACATAATGGTAAAATTCAAGGGTTAGTGGCGAGAACTAAGATAAAAAACTATATTTTTTTATGTCATGGCATTTACTGTTAGTTTTTTGAATTTTTAGTAAATTGGAAAAGCTTGAACTTTCGCAAATATGTATAAGGTGCCACAAATTTAACTTTACAAAGAGTTAATAAGTTGAGAGTTGATGGATGTGGCAAAATATTTTTTTCTAACAAAATAAACTATTAATTTTTTAGTATCTAAATGACGGTTTATTACCTAATGTTAGGTGATGGTTAAGTTTAAGAGGCATTTTGGCATGGCTCAATTTGCACGGCAGAGTGAAGCAAATAATAACTCTCTAGATAATTTTTTTAGAGAAAATTAAAGTACGTATGATATTGAAGTACGTACGAAATATATTGTGTAAAAATACAAAGAAGCGGAAAAAGCGTAAATCTATTAAATTGAGATATGATTATTTATTTTGCGATCATAATATTTGAATTACTGTGATTAAACATAAGAATGGACTTTCATTCATTTTGCTTATTCTATATAGATTCTAGGTTTAGATTTTAGGTTCTGTTTGGATTCATTTTAGGTACCAATTCAATTAAATGTTTACCATGCACCGAATTTAGTAAAAATTGGAAGCTTAATGATTTAGTTAACAAAAATTACAGATACAGTCGAAAAATAGCAGTTTGTCTCTAATCAAAAACAAAAAGTTCTTGTTTTTCATCTGCAAAATTTCTTCTAAAGTAGGGGTGGAGAATAACGTTTTGATTTTGTTAATTTTATGTTCAGGATCATATTGAACAGATAGGATTTGAAAGAAAACGAAGCTCTAAAGTTGTTTTCGAACACAGATGAGAATATTGAAAAGCAAAAATGAAAAAGTGCGTACAATAAAAAATTTTGTGTTTTCTTAGCAGTTTCGTGCAAGTACGATGAGATCTAAGTATGTATGAAAAAGCCAAAATGTTTTGAATGAAAAATTAGTCGGCAATTATTAGAAA